AAATAGCACAAACATGTCTAAATCCTTCTAAAATCACTGCCTGTAGAGGCAGGGAAAGGATGCTACAACCTGCCCGTCCCCACGAGCAAATGCAGGAGATGTATGCATCTTCTTCAGCAAAGGGGTAGGGATGACTCGTCTCAACCTCGTGTATGTTTTAAAGCCTAGTTGCTGGAAACTCTTAGGCCAAAACACATCCCTGGTATACATATGCATTGCTGTATACTCCAAGGTTAACCGCCAACCAAATCATGCTAAACTAACAATGAGAAAGCCAAGCTAGGAGTCATTGCTAATTAAACACCTAGGTTCCCAGCAACTGCAAATTACCGGTCATTCAAGACGGTTTTGACATTGCCTGGTTACAGTGCCATTTCCAGCATCTACAGGAAATCCAACAGCCTGTGAGTCTGTGCTGCACAGGAGCCTGAAGCGCACCGCTTCCCAGCACAGGAAGGCGGCCGGACCCCAAAGGGGCATCCATAAACGCCAGAGGGGCTGTAACTTAACGCCGATCACACTTCGGGAACTTCTAAAAATGTCTTTGCGATTCCTGGCGGACAGCCTACAACATACCTTAAACTTGGAATTTTTGAGTCCCGTACCCGCAAAACCTGATAAAAGGCCTTGTGTGCGGCCTTCCGAACTGGACCAACGCCACTGGCAAGAGGCCTTGGAGGTAGAGACCAAGCCTACAGAATCCCGACTGCAAAAGACAGATCTGATCCAGGAACCCACAGGGTCTAGACTCCCGCGGGGGTGTTCCACCACACGATCAGGCCCCCGGCACACCATTCAGCACCCCCAACCCCCATGCCTTTACCTGTAGCGGCCACAACCATTGTACAGCTAGCTCTCTGGCTGTGCCACGCTCTTGCTGACCTCGCGGGCCTCCATCCATGCCGCTGTCTGAAATGCCCTTTTCCACCTCTTTTCTCCTGGTCACTCCTCCCACTTGGCAGACTCCTCCTTCAAGACCCATCTCGTGGGCCATGCTCTCTTAAGAGCATTTCACAACTTTTCAGGCCCTAAGGTGGATAAGGGGCTCATCTCTGTGCTCCCATGACACCTGGTAACACAACATCATAGTGCCCATCACACTGTATTAGCATCACCTTGCCTGGTATGCCCATTTGCTTGCAACACATCAGAGCGAACTATCAACCTGGAATCATTATAAGTTTCAAATTCAAGATCACAGAAAAGTTGTCTGAATTTGAGGTCATAGTGTACCAGAACTAAAGCTGGGGTTTCAGGATTCCCATTAATTACCTTGAATGGAAGGCCTGAGGAGAGCAGAGAGTGTCACTCAATTAAGACAGATTTCCCTTTTCAAGTGTGTTTGTGTGTACATGGTTCAAAAACTCAAGGTTAGAGGTGCCTGGGTGGCTCAGTTGGTTGAACAGCCGATTTGACTTCTACTCAGGTCATGATCCCAGGGTCGTGAGATCGGGCCCCATATCAGACTTCACATGGAGCCTGCTTAAGATTCTCTTTCTCTCTCTCTCTCTCTCTCTCTCTCTCTCTCTCTCTCTGCCCCTCTCTCCTGCTCATGAGCATGTATGCTTGCTCTCGCTCTCTCAAAAATAAATTAAAAAAAATTTTTTTTAAAGTTCAGGTTAAGGTAAAGAAAACAAGTAGGCTTCAGGGTAGGAGAAAGGTGTTTAAAAAGAAAAAGCTGTGCACTAATATTTAGTTTCTTTTTTCCCCTATAGAATGTCAGTCTTTTCTTCTGCTGACTTAGAACCAAGTTTCAATCATGATTTCTGGACCTAAAGGCTGCACATGTTTTTACATCGAAATATCTGGAAGGGAGGCTACTTGGAGAGGAGCAGGGGTATTAAAATTCCAGCCGATTACATACTGGTTATTTGCTTATTAAAGTTCCAAATGAAATAGTGGCCCACCTCTGTATTCTAAAAGTTGATATTGTGGGGTTTGGAGGAAGAAATCACTCCCTGTATCACTTTCCAGAACACAGCATCCATTCTAAGTACACCTTTGCCAGCTGCCAGCCTGACAAATGACTTGGAAAATCAGAATCATTGCAGCCTGCCGAAGAAGTCAAGAGTGAAAGGTTAAAGTGTCTCACGAGCTACCTGAACGTGAATGTCACCAATGCTGTGAGACCTCTCGCCAGGCCTGGGGCCCAGACCATGCAATCCTCTCCGTGTGCCATGCTAGGCATGTTGGGATTCATCCATGTGCAGGAGGAGGTCACTGGCAGGTTTAAGCAAGGAGTGAGGTGACATGACAAGTATTTTAAAGACCACTCTGGGTCCAAAGTGATGAGCAGAATGGAAGGAAAGTGGGAACAGGGCAAGCAATTCAAAGGCCTTTGCAGTGAAGGCCTACTGGTGTCACTGGACTTCAGGGGTGGACAAGGGAGGGCAACAGATGAATTCGAGATCTACATTAAGGGCATCTCAAGGACTTGGGGATCTGGAGGCAGAGAAAGGTGAGTGTTAACAGACGACTCCCCGGTTTCTGGCTTGAAAAAGTGAGTTAACAGCTGCGCACTCTAATGAGATGGGGGTTAGGGGAGGTCTGCAAAGGGGCTGTGTTAGAAAGAGACCAAGAGATAAAATGTGGACCCGGTGAGCTTGGGGTACCCACAAGACACTCAAGTTACCTAGCTGCTGTAGTAGGTATAAAATGTCCTATAAAGCAAGAGGAGTCGTGTGGAACGATGGACGCCTGGGCCTTGCTCACTGGTGACCCTTCCCACCACCCTCCGAGGCGCTTGGATGTCCTGCTACTGTGCTGGGGCACCACATAAGGAGTTTATGGTGCCAAGTTCACCCACGCAGGCCGCTTCTATGATGACCCTCAGTAGTGATGCCGATACCAGCTTTGGGACCAGGAAAGCAGTAACTTTAACAGTAACGTGATAAATGACATTTTGCATCCTACCACAAGAGGAAGTAAAGTATGTAGACCAATATTTTCTTCAATTACAAGCATCGTAATAGGTTTGCTGATTTCTCGATAGTGACGTTTTCACGGAGTCCCAGCAGAAGGTCTTAGTACCTAGTCCTGTGCCCTGCCGGTTATACCACTGGGAGTACCACCCCGCGTAGGGGGTTCCAAGTTAGAGTCTCTCCTAGGGAAATGCTAATCTAAGGTGGTATCAGATGCAGAGAAAGGTCTCTCTCTCTCTTAACAAAAGACCAGAGAAGACAGCCTATTTTAGGAAAACAATGACTCACTGAAATCACATCCTGCTCTTAAGTTAATATGCCTCCTTCTGGACTAGAACCTGCTTTTCCTATCATGATGGGTCTGTTTTCCGAGTCCCCCATCAAAGGACAAATCAAATGTCATTTAACAATCTGCCTTCTAATTAAAATTTGAGCCATTTTTTAAAAATCACAGTGAACTAAACAATTCCACATGGCAATAAAGCACTGTGCTCTGCCGCCTTGATTAACAGAAGCATTTGCAACTATTTAAAGGAGAAGGGGGGGGGCATCATTAGATACAGCGAGATGAAACCCCTGTTAGTGTCTTTCAGTTTACTCCTAGAGTAAGCATCAATGTAAACTAATTAAATTTCCTGCCTTTAAATAAGCCCAAACAAAAATAAAACTTACAGGACTGACTGGAGGGTCCTGGAAGGAAGAGAACTACTTTTTCAAGAAAGTGGCCCTGCTGGGGTGGGGGGAACACCAGGGTCAGGCTGCATGTCTTAACAGAGGGTCAAGGGTCCTCTCGGTGGGAGGAACCCCGGGATTGGGGAAGAGACAGGGCCCCAGGTTTCGTGATGGCAGCAGTGGCTTTCCAGGGCAAGGGCCAAGACGGTGCAGGGGAGGGAAAAGCTGAACTCCTTTCACGCCCGCAACATGACCCCATGCAAGACATCTAACTGCTCTGAGCCTGTTCCTGACTGAATGTGAGAAGGTTCCAGCTGCCCCTGCCTGTTCCCTAGGACTGGCGGGAGAAGACGACCTGGTGCAGTGTGTAGAAGCACCCCGTGCAAAGGTAAGAGACCACTGTGGTTACTGGAGGGGAGGAGAGGGGCGGGCAAGCACTCTATGTGAACGGTGACCCATAAACTGGGAAGATCAATAAGAAACTTCTTGAGGAGACTTAGCAGTGCAGTAAACAGTTTGGGAAAAGGAACCTGCTGACTCATTCGCTTAAAGCAAAAGGTCTGGAGCAGGGACGTGGGTTAAGATGCAACCGTTTGCTGACTGAAGCAGCTCAGAAGATCATACAGATGGATGGAGGAGGAGGTCTGCCATCCAGCAGACGGGAGGACACCTCCCCTCCCTTTCAATTTCTGGATTACTGCTCCTAATGTGGGCCCATATTTGCCCATAAAAACTAAAAATCAGACACAGAAGCTTTGCTATTAGCTTCATGTCACCAGTAGCCCAAAGAGAAAGGACATCTAGAGAGTAGCAATTTCTGATGGATGCTCAAAGAACAGAATCGATTTGAAAATGATAGTGAAGGCCCCTAACAAGGGTGGAGTGGTAAAGGTGCAGAGTGAATCCATACAGGAACTGCCTGTCTAGTGGGGAAGGCTGAGATGAGACTCTGTTCAGCATCCAGGCACAACTCAGATGCACCCTCCAAGAGCTCATTATGGCCAACGTGCAAACACACAACTATAATCAGGTGTGGAAATACCCAGATGGTGGTGACGGGAGGTTCACAGAGAAGGAGCCACGGATGAAGATGGGACAGGGGAGGGGCACAAGTGATAACGTAAAGCTCGTTATGGTACCTGCCAGTGAGGAGATAGGATATGGGGATTCCAAAACAGGAGAAGCGCTATCAGCCGGGAGGGGATAAAAAAGGCCTGATTTCTGGGGAAGTGACGCCTGATAAAGGCCTTCAGGGATCAACAGGAACCTGGCCAGGCAGACAGCATGGGGGCAAATAGTACATACAGGACTGGGCATGTCTGAGGAATGAGGGGTACAGTAATCTCTCCCCAACAATGGTTTCCCTCATAAGAGAACTTTAGTAGGTACAAATTTCCTTCTGTTTACCTTTTCTTCAACTCCAAGAACTGCAAGTTTCAAGGCTTTCAGCAAACTGATTTCCAGTAAAGGTGACTTGGGTTATTCCTGTTGAGAAATCAAAATAAGAGGTATCATAGGTTTTGGGGAGCTACCCCTACACAGACCCCTTTTTGGGGATTCCCCCCCGCCAGGCCACGCTGAGAGGGTGGTCCCGTGGCTCCCCTCCCCAAACTGACTGGCTTGGGGAGGGACTCTCGCCAGGGTCAGCTACACTGCTTCCTCCCTTGCTCACCTGAGGATGAAGATGTGCAAACTTAGGCGAGCAGTGGTGAGCCCTTATCCAGGGAAACACACACACACACACACACACACACACACACACACACACAGGAGGTGAGCAGGACTGTACAACATGCAGCCTCTGGATTAAGGGGCCTTCCCGCTCCAGTCCCCAGCAGGCTGGTCACACTATGCTCCCTGCATTCCCAAGATTCCTACAACAAACCCTCTGCTGAGGTCAGCTGGCCTGAGAGCATTTCTGTTCCTTGCGACCGAGAATCAACGATTTAAGAATGATGGATCCAGGGTCAGGACCAGAAAAAGAACAGAGTAGAGGGTGAAGAAACAGAGGCTTTTGGAACAAAGTCTTGGGAAAAATAAAAGAAGATGGGAGAAAGTGACCCGGGACTCTCAAGTACTGTCCCATAATAGCTGAGAGCGAAGGATGAGAGGGGTGTGTGAGACCCAGAGAGGAGATCCAACAGATATAATTCATAAAATCCCAGCTGTATTAAACATTAAGATGGAGGCCCAGACACTGGGGAAAAGGGGCTCTTAATATGGGCATTTCCCATAACAAAGCAAAGCAAATAAGAATTTAATTGAAAATACGGAGGTGGGAGACTGAAAAGTGTCTATAGCAAATAAGGAACAATTGAGTGTAATAATTTGAAAGTTGATTTACTGTGGGGGTTTTTTTTTTTTTTGGTCTAAAACAATAAACATTATATTTATTCATGGTTTGGTGGGTCAACACAATTAGTGCTGGGCTCAGCCAGGTAGTTTTTCTCTGGTCTTGCCTGGTTTACATATGTGGCTATAGTCATCTGGTGGCTTAGCTGGGCTGGGTGGTAGACCAGATGACTTAGCTCACATACTAGTGACTGATAAGGCGGTTTGTGCTGCTTTTATAGTCCATTTTAATGAATGTGAACTTCTGAAAGCTTCAAATATGTATGCCTACTATCCCCTTGCCGTATTTTTCCATTGGTTCTTGAGTTGGTCAACCATGAATTCACCCACTGTAAGGTTTCATAAATCTAACCTCTTCCTCCCCCTCTGCCAGGGAGTGACAATCTTGGTGAGGCTCAGAGATAAAGATGTGGGGAAGGGAGGGGTGAGAGGCAGGAGTGGAAAGGGCAAGGTTCTTCAGGGGCCCTGAATGCTGAGTTCAGTTGGATGGACTGCATTCAAACAGCAGAAGTCAAGATGATTGTAGTCTAATCCCATGTTCCTTCTCTAAGAAATAATTACCACTCAGAAAATGTAGGAAGTTTAAAAATGGGCTGCAGAGGGAAAACATGACCCAAACCACAGAGACTAGAAATTAAGTCAACGGCAACCTTTACCCTTGACAGGATCCTTTGCCTGCTGCTATTGGTTAACGGCAGCAGAGGCTTCACAAGATTCCCCTGGCTTCTGGAACTTCTAAGCAGCTCAGCGCAGTAGGCTTTCACTGAGCAGGAGCAGGGACACCAGTTGACCGTCAGAACAGGCTGCTGAGCCCAGGCCTGGCCCCCAGGAGGCCGCTACCACAGCCCTCCACAGTCTCTCCATTCCCACCAGTCATCTCCGTCCCACCACTTCCTCTCTGGGCGTCGGTTTCCTCATCCACGAAACGAGGGAAACTAGACCCCACGGCTACTCAAAGGCGGTCATCCACCAACTCTTCGCTGCTGGTTCACGACAAGGTAAGCACAGAAATCAGAGACGCTGAGAAGCTGGGACAACGTACGATACTTCCACACAGCCAAGCACATGGTGAGCGGGGCATCCTCGTTGAGCGAAGCACAGATTGGTACAGGAGTTTCCTGTGGCTGCCATAACAAATTCTCGCTAACTGGGTGGCCCAAAACAACAAAAATCTATTCTCTCACAGTCCTCGGGGCTTGAAATCAAAGTGGAGGCAAGGGCCACAATCCCTTCAGAGACTTTAGGGGACAATCTGTGCCCTGCCTCTCCCAGCTTCTTCTGGTGGCCATCGGCATTCCTTGGCTTGTGGCCGCACCTCTCCTCTGCGTCACTGCCTTCTGTGTGTGTGTGAAATCTCCCTCTTTCTCTCTCTTATAAGCACACTTGTGATGGCACTTAAGGCCCTCCTGGATAATCCAAAATGGTCTCACCTCCAAATCCTTCTTTCAATCACGTCTACAAAGACCCTTTTTCTAAGAAAGGTAACATGATTTGGGCACACCTTCGGGGATACCACTTAGCACCCCATAACTGGGATGGATATTGCCGAATTTGTGCGTGACCAGCTGTACCCGGTATGCACTGAACACTCGTATCAGATCACCACTGGGGGAAAGAAGACCCCACCCTGTCTTTCACTCTTCCTCTACAGCCCTGAGGCCTGGGTTGGACAAGATCAGATTGCAACGGGCAGCCCCCAGGAAAGGGAAGGAGGCTAACAGGAGGCAGGGGTACAAGAACAGGTACAGACTTTCCGTCAGCCCTTCCCAAGCTGGTCTCCCACATTCTCTGGCAGGCAGTGGAATAGCTGGCCCTTCCTTACCCCAGCTTTCTGTCCTTCAAGCAGCTTTAGCTGTAAAGTAATTAAATTGATCTGTGTTCTGTTCAAGTGTTTTCAGAGTTTTCAATGTCCACGTTTGAGATCAGAAATGCAACTCTTCTGCTAAAATCCTTGTGTACCTAGCACTGTCCTGCCAGTAACATATCCTCTCCCCAACACCCCTCCCTGTAACCTCAAAAGCACTCAGGAAAACACTCAGGCTTCATAACAAAATGGAGAAAGCACTTGGAGACTTGACAAAGCAAGGGCATCATTTCTCATTAGAAGTTTTCTTGCCTTGCAAGAATACTCCTTGCTAAAGGAACCACTATGTTGAGTCCCTTTGCTATGTTACGTTTCAGCTTTAAAGGGCAGACGATGTCAAAAATACCTGAAAATGTTTAAAATGATAACACTCGATGCAGGTATGGCCACAGTAAAATGGGCATTCTCATCATTCAACTACTGGTAGGAGTATAATAGGCACAATCTTTCTGGAAAGCAATTTGGAAATTTTTATTAAGCAGCTTAAACAGTACAAACCCTTTGACATTATAATTCCATTTTCAGAACTCTGCATTAGGGAATGAATCAGAAGCGAGGACAAACTTAATGCTCAAAGGTATCCATGCAGTGTTATACACTGATAAGAAAAAAAAAACCTGGAAATAAACTTAATAGCCAACAAAAGGAAATGATTAGATAAATTATGGTATATTCATAAATAAGGATTTACGCAGACATTAAAATGACATTTTACAAAGAACTTTTCATGAAAATGACATTTCTAAGAATAACAGCTGATCCTTACATGGCCCAGGCACTATCACAAGCTTCTTATTCCCACATTATAGATCAGAAAATGGAGACACCAAGAGTTAAGACACTTGCCCAAGGAAATCCTGCTAGTAAGAGACAGCATTGGGGTTTGAGCCCACCCAGTCTGACTCCAAAGTCCATGCTCTTAAACCCTGTGGTAGGCTAAAAACTGGCCCCAAAGATATCATGACCTAACCCTGGAACCTGTACATGTTACCTTCTATAAAAAAGGGTCTCTAGGGCACCTGGGTGGCTCAGTAGGTTAAGTGTCCTACTTGGGCTCAGGACATGATTTCGCGGTTCACGAATTCCAGCCCTGCATCGGGCTCTGTGCTGACAGCTCAGACCGTGGAGCCTGCTTTGGATTCTGCATCTCCCTCTCTCTCTCTCTCTCTCTCTCTCTCTCTCTCTCTGTCCCTCCCCCACTCACACTCTATCTCTGTCTCTCAAAAATGAATAAACGTTAAAAAAAAAAAGGAAGAAAAGGGGTCTCTGCGGATGGGATTAAGATAAGAACCTTGGGGTGCCTGGGTCACTCAGTTAGTTAAGCGTCTGACTTTAGCTCAGGTCACGATATCAGTTCATGAGTTCGAGCCCCGCATAAGGCTCTTTGCTGTCAGCACGGAGCCCACTTCAGATCCTCTGTTCCCCTCCCTCCCTGCCCCTCCCCTGTTCATGCATGCTCTCTCTCTCTCTCTCTCTCTCAAAAATAAACATTTAAAAAAGATAAGAATCGGGGCGCCTGGGTGGCGCAGTCGGTTAAGCGTCCGACTTCAGCCAGGTCACGATCTCGCGGTCCATGAGTTCGAGCCCCGCGTCAGGCTCTGGGCTGATGGCTCAGAGCCTGGAGCCTGTTTCCGATTCTGTGTCTCCCTCTTTCTCTGCCCCTTCCCCATTCATGCTCTGTCTCTCTCTGTCCCAAAAATAAATAAACGTTGAAAAAAAAAATTTTTTTTAATAAAAAAAAAAAAAAAGATAAGAATCTTAAGATGAAGAGATAGCCTCAATTATCTGGGTGGACCCTAGAGGCCATCACCAGTGTCCTCATGAGAGGCAGAGATTACACACACACACACACACACACACACAGAAGGCATGTAAAAACAAAGGCTGATAAGGGAGAGATGAGGCCACGTGCCAAGGAATGCCAGCAGCCACCAGAAGCTGCATGGGACAAGGAATGGATTCTCCCTAGAGCCCCCAGAGGGAGCACAGCCCTGCCTACATCTCGATTTGAACTTCTGGTCTCCTGAAATGTGAAAGAATAAATTTCTGCTGTTTTAAGTCTCCCCATTGGAGACAATTTGTTACAGCAGCCACAAGAAACTAACATAAGCTCCTATGTTGTACTGCTCTCAATGCAAGAGAAAATATTCTTATGTTAAATAGCAAAAGTAGAAATTGAAATTTATACACAATGATCTTAATTATGCATACAAAAATACATGCAAATACAACAAAATGGTTTGTAGTGATTATCTCTTGAGTACTAGAA